TTATAGCTGTTTCGTTCAAATGTTAATTGGCGGGTTAAGCGCTGGGTTTGCTGATTATGCGGTTTTATTTTTAGTATTCTTGTTTCTCGCGTTACCTCCCTTCCTTGCCCTTGTAGGATATAATATATTGTTACTTTGTTGCTAGTTGACTTAGCGTATGGAACCTCCACCCCCCCCCCCCAAACTGGCTCCCGTTTGAATTGTGAGGACCTTAACCATATCCGTACGCCCTTGATTCATTTTGTACCCCTGGGGTAGTATTCTTCACATTTTAGAATACTTCTAGTGGGAAGATCTCTTTGAAGCTTTCAGTATTTCTTTTTTTTTTAAATCATTTTGACAGACTGCTATGCAAAGCGTTCGGATCGAATTAACAAGTAAATTTCCTCTATCGAAAGTGGTGGCTCAGAGTTTCCCACGTCGTATGGATACGATAGTAAAACACGACGTACGGATAGGGTTAAAGTGTAATAGAGGCATATATACTGACAGATGGACAGAGAAAGGGAAATACAATGTCCTCTCCCTTGTAAAGAGAGTGGGTGGAGGTGGGGGTTAATTGAATAATTCTGCAGAATGATAGAAAGGGGAGCACAAAGGTGGCGTTTGGGAGTGGGGGTGCAGGGTGGAGGTTAAGATTAATTGGACAATTTTGCAGAATGATAGAAAAGAGACCGCAGGGGTGGTGGGGACCGGGGGTGGGTATGGGGTGGGCGAGGGATGAAGATGAGTAGTGAAGGATAGCGAATGTTGTTAAGTGGATTTCTTCCCGGAGGTCTGGGAGAGAGGCCGGTGGGTGATTGAGACAGAGGTCAGCTCTTTCCCAGGCCCTCCCTCCCTGTCTCCCTCCTCCTCTCTGTGCTTCCCTTCTCTGGGGTCCGCCCCCGGTGCTTCCACTCTCACAGTCGCCTGTCTGTCAGTCGTTGACCACACTGTGTGTGTGTGTGTGTGTGTCTGTCTGTTCGTCTGTCTGCATGTCTATCTGTCTGTCCGACCCTTTCTCTTGCTCCCCCACGCTCTCACTCAACTCACCCCCCCTCTCTCTCCCCTCTCTCTCTCTCTCTCTCTCAATCTTTCTCGATGTCTTCCTCTTTTCCTCAATCTCTCTCTGTATCTTCCCCTTTCTCTCTCTTTCAATGTCTCTCTCCCCATCTCCCCCCCTCTCTCTCTTCCTCCCTCCCTCAATCTCTCTCTCTCCCCTCCCTCCTCTCTCAGTCTCCGTCTATATCTTTCCCTCTTTCTCTCCTTCTTTCCTCTCTCTCTCTCTCTCTCTCTCTCTCTCATCCCCTCTCTCTCTCTCTCTCCCCTCCTCTTCTTCTCTCTCCCCCTCTCTCTC